AAAAAAAGGGATTTGGGAGGGAAAAAAAGGGATTTGGGAGGGAAAAAAAGGGATTTGGGAGGGAAAAAAAGGGATTTGGGAGGGAAAAAAAGGGATTTGGGGGGAAAAAAAAGGGATTTGGGAGGGAAAAAAAGGGATTTGGGGAGAAAAAACGGGATTTGGGAGGGAAAAAAAGGGATTTGGGGGAAAAAAAAGGGATTTGGGGGGAAAAAATGCCCTTCCTTTTGGGAAAAAAAGTGATTTTTGTGAGGGGGAGAAAGCCCATTTTGGGGGAAAACATCCATTTTCCAGCCAAAAAAAAAAATTTCAACTTTTTTTTTGGGAAGAAAAGGTCATTTTTGGGAGGGAAACACCGATTTTAGAAGGAAAAGTTTTGGGTGAAAAGAAACATTTTGGTTTGAAAAGGTTTTTCTGGAGTTTTTTTGGGGGGAAAAGGGGATTTTGGGGGTGAAAAGGAGTTTTTTTTGAGGGAAAAAAAAACATTTTGGGAAAGAAAAATCCCATTTTTTGGGGGGGAAATTTGTTTTCCAGTAAAAAACCAAATTTTGGAGGGAAAAAAGACAATTTTGAGGGGGGGGGAGAAAAAAGTCGTTTTTTGGGGTAAAGTGGGAGTTTTGAGGAAAAAAATAATATTTTGAGGAGAGAAAATTGGACATTTGAGGTGGAAATTAAAACATTCCCAGAAAATCGTGATTTTTCAGGAATAAAGAATATTTATGAGAGGAAAAAAAGGGTATTTCTGAAGGAAAAAAGATATTTCTGAGGGGAAAAAATAACAATTTTGACAGTTTTGGGGGAAAACAGGCACTTTTGAGGAGAAAAAAGCATTTTTGGGAAATAAAAGCTTTTTGAGGGAAAAAAGGGAGTTTTTCAGGGAGAAAAGGACATTTTGGGAAGGAAAGCAGGATATTTCCAGGGGGAAAAATAATCAGGGAATAAAAGATTTTTTGAGGGAAAAAGTGAAATTCTGAGGGGAAATAAAGAACATTTTTGAGAAAATTAAGATTTTTTGGAGAATTGGGAATTTTTGGGAAATAAAAGACGTTTAAAGGATTAAAAAGAACATTTTTTTCAGTGAAAAAAGAGGTTTTTGTGAGGAAAAGGACATTTTTGAGGGGAAAAAAGGACTTTTTGAAGTCTAAAAAGAACATTTTGGGGAGAAAGAAAAAAGGATTTTATTCAGAGAGAAAAAAAGTCCATTTTTGAGGGAAAAAGACTTTTTTTATGGAAAAGATGGTATTTTTGAGGTAAAAATGGACATTTTTGAGGGAAATATCAGACATTTCCAAGAAGAAAAAACAACTTTTCGGGAAAACAGGGATTTTTGAGGGAAAAAGGACATTTTTGAGTGCAGAAAAGAGGATTTCTTTGGAAATCAGGGATTTTTTTAGGGAAAAAAGTCCATTTTTGAGGGGAAAAGACTTTTTTTTATGGAAAAAATGACATTTTTGATGGGAAAATGGACATTTCTGAGGGAAATATCAGACATTTCCAAGAAGAAAAAACAACTTTTTGGAAAAAACAGGGATTTTTTAGGGAAAAAAGGAAATTTTTGAGTGTGGAAAAGAGGATTTGTATGGAAATTAGGGATTTTTGAGGGAAAAAAGGGCATTTTTGAGAGGGAAAAAAAAAAACTTCTTGGGAAATCAGGGATTTTTGAGGGAAAAAAATGACATTTTTGAGGGGTGAGAAAAGTAATTTTTGAGAAATCTGGGAATTTTGAGCAACAAAAGCCATTTTTTGAGGGAAAAAGACCATTTTTGAAAGGAAAAAAAAAAGGACTTTTTGGGAAAGAAGGATTTTTGAGGGAATTAAGGTGGTTTTTGAGAGGAAAAAATGACTTTTTGGGAAATGAGGGCAATTTTGAGAGGAAAAAAACCCCTTTTTGAGAGAAAAAAATCCATTTTTGAGGAAGGAAAAAATGGAATTTTTGGGAAATGGGGGATTTTTGAGGAACAAAGGTTGGTTTGGAGGGAATGAGAGGAGTTTTTTGAGGAGAAAAATGAGGATTTTGGGCACTCACGTCGTCAGGGCGGGTGAGGACGAGGCTGCGAGGATCCTGCGGGGGGAAGTGCAGGTGGGGCAGCCCCCGCTGCCGATCCCGCTCCTCCGGCAGCAGCGGCCGCACGCGGCAGAAAACACGGATGTTTCCCTGGAAAAACCCCAAAAATCGGGATTCAGACACGGAAATCACGGATGTTTCCCTGGAAAAACCCCAAAAATCGGGATTCAGACACGGAACACGCGGATGTTTCCCTGGAAAAACCCCAAAAATCGGGATTCAGACACGGAACACGCGGATGTTTCCCTGGAAAAACCCCAAAAATCGGGATTCAGACACGGAACACGCCGATGTTTCCCTGGAAAAACCCCAAAAATCGGGATTCAGACACGGAACACGCGGATGTTTCCCTGGAAAAACCCCAAAAATCGGGATTCAGACACGGAACACGCCGATGTTTCCATGGAAAAACCCCAAAAATCGGGATTCAGACACGGAACACGCCGATGTTTCCCTGGAAAAACCCCAAAAATCGGGATTCAGACACGGA